TTATTCACACTCAGCCGTGAATACAAAACGCTGCTCTGAAAGGAGCGTGAATCACACATTCATGTGGATCCAAAGATGGTGTTATATTTTTTTTTTCCTTAACCAAGATTAATACATCCTTTGTGCAATTACCCACTTTCTCTCTCACACACACACAGATACACAGGAACACACACACACACACACACACACACACACGGCTGTCACACCAATTAGAAATCCTAGGTAATCTTACCTCTAGTCATTAAAATCCAGTCAGACACTGGGTGCAATAATGTTCAAAGGGTGCTGTGACAATCTCTGAAATATGAAGCAACCTTTATTAGATTTCCACAAGGAGGATTCCATCAGCAATCTGTTCTCAGGATTGTGTTTAACCGCCTACAGTCTGTGGTCTCCACATTAGAAATATATATATATATTTTCTATGATCTGCTTCTGTTTGGGTTGCAGCGGGATAGGAGGGTTTGCGCTGCGGTGGAAGAGAAGCAGTAGGCGGTGAGGCGGTGGCACATCTATCGAGGGCAGGGCGGTACTGGGGAGGAACGTTGCCCTGGAGCGCGCCGCACGTACCGAAGGGACGCGCTGATTGACAGTCGGAGGCACGGAGCGCCCCGTGCGGAGCTCGCAAGCGGAGCACGCTAATCTCACCGCAACACGTCTTGTCAACGGCATCTGTGTGAAATTCCCAGATAGATCAGCCTGGCGCAGAAAAGAAAAAGAGCAAGAGTATCCGTCCAGCGGCTCCGTTATTGAAGGGGTTTCTGGAGAAGTGGAAAGGACGCGGCGGCTCTGCAACTCTCTCCCCATCTTCTCTCTACCTGTTCAGTGATAAGTGGAAATAGTCTTGGCCAACCTGGCGCCTCAAAGTGTCCGGATAACGGGAGTGGGTGGACGCAAAGGTCAGAATGCACCAAGCAATCTGAGCGAACAAAGATTTTTGTCGATTTCTTTTTGTGGACTAAAAGGACTGCGCTTGATGCTTGATCGAGATAATTTTTTTGGAGGAGAGGTTGCTCTTTCTTTAAAAAAAAATTGTTAAATGCAAAATAATCGCGTTTGTGAATCTGTTTTTAATTTCCAGGAGATTGTAATAGAAGAAAACTCTTTCTAATTGGAATATTGGATACAGAAGCTGGAAAGTCTGGAGGAATTTAGTCTAAGTTCCCTTGGTGCGTAATGTGTGCAAGTGCCGCATAAGTACTTTTGCCTTGTCCGTTTTTCTACGTCCAGTGCCCCCATTTTTCTTTCTCATGGAGTAGGCTGAATCGCAGGTAAAGACTTAAAAAGAGTGGGCTTATTCCCTGCCGCCCCGAAACACAGGCGGATTCGATGCGCCGATTCTTCGTGTGATGGTAAATGACCGATGGGGAATCATGAACAGCTCTTCTGAACTCGAAGATGGAACTCGGCATAAAAACCAGGTATGTTCCGCACATTCTCCACTCGATCTGTGGGCTTTTTTTAAAAAAAAATTACTATTATTATTATTATTATTATTATGAGGAGTGGTGCATCTGCTTTGCTGCAGTGTTACCACGCTGAATTTGGTGATGTGCCTCTCGGGCGAATCACTGCACTGTAGAGACAGAAGCTGCAGATGAGCTGTTATTCCCGACTCCCCGAGCTTTAGCACTTCTGTTCCTGTCATAATGTTTCAACCCACCCGCGGATCACACGGTCCCCACGGCTACTTTTTATTTATTTATTTTATTTTAACGTGTCACAGCGCGTGAACGTGTTAGTTAGCCCTACTTAGAAATACATTAATTAAGGGGAATAGGTGAAAATCACTGCAGGAGATAATTGCGCATCTCGGCTGCATCCTCGCCACATATTGTCAGATTACTTCGGGCTGCAAGCTGCTCGCTTGTCTGAAAATCCCGTTTGTCTTGTTGAAAATGCCGAAACTTGGCGCACAGACATCCTCCCGACAGTCTTGAGTTCAGCCTGTCTCCCGCTCGGGTGAACTGGGACAGGGTCGGACGTGTATGGTGTTGCATGCACGAAAGGCTTACTTTGGGGAATAGTCAATGTGTTTTCACAAGGTCAGTAGAGGGTTATTGACAGCCAATGAGAGAGAGAAAGAGACAGAGAGAGGAGGCGAGAGAGAGAAAAGTCTCCTCGGGAACAAGGGATCGGATTTCGGGGCACTGATACAGCTTGTGGCTTTTGCAAAACACACAGAAAGGAGAAAACACACGTTTTCTTTTCCCTGTTTCTAAAAATGTAGATGGCTTTTAATAAGAAATGTGAAAGTGCTAAAAAGTTCCTCAGAGAAATCTGAGACAGTAAGAGCAAATGTGACGTGAGCCTGCAGTTTGGCGACCTTTCCATTGCTGACGCACCTTTGATTTGTTTCATAGGAACGATGAGAAATCAGCTCACATAAATCGCACAATAGATTTTTTTTTTTTAAAAAAAATATACGACAACATTATTATCCCAGTGAGACTAATCAATAATATGCGTTTTTAGAATGTTTTTATTTTGTTTTTTGTACTGTGAATTGTGAATGGTGCCATTCCAATTGTTAGAAAGACGCTCGACTTTGGCAAATTTCTAATACTGCTTAGGTGCTGGATGTGTGGCTTGCTGCTCTCCTGTAGATTTCAGGGCTCAGTCAGAGTCACTTGCATGGTGGCACTGTGGGCCTGTGTTTGAGTCTTGCTGCATGAGTATGGACTGATACCGAGATGAGTTTAATGTGTTGTATGTTAAAGCTGGCAGATCTTCATGTAACCTGCTTATAAGTGGAGTCCAGGCCAGCGTTTTATTGCCTGCAAGCTCCCCTGGCTATTTTATAAGCACTTAAAGGTCACGTGAACACCAGATAGCCTGCCCTGGGTTTTAATGTGTCGACTGTGTGTGTGTTCTGCAATGCTAGCCTCTCTGTGTCTGATCAGTAAACTAAACTGAGGTGGGGTGTTGTTGATGAATGAATGAAAAGTGCAGAGTCATGTTTTGATTTAAAAGAAAATCTGAATGACTCTAAAATTGTGAAGCATAAAAAGCCGAATGTTATCCATAACTTCAACACTGGGTGAGAGGAGATGTTGTGGGAAATAAGAATGCCTAATGCTCCAATCTGTCCCACTCCTCCCTACATCAATCTGTCTCTTTCTTCGGCACTTGTTACGTTACTATCACACACAGGCAGACATAACCATTCTCTCTGCCATCCCCACCCCATCCCTCTCTTTCTGTCAGCCAGTCTCTCCCTGCAATCTTTAGCAGTAATACCAATCTTTTATCTCCAGTCTCGTGCTATTGACACAGTCATTTCAGACCCAGTGGGGAGGGATCAGGTAATAGAGATCTCTTGCGGTCTCTGTTTGTCTTGATATTACAAAACATCGCCTGGTATTTGTCTGGTAACTCTGCATATTTGAGTCGTTGCTGTAGGTGGGCTGTCATCTGTGCCCTTTTGTAACAGATGGGTGCCATTTAGAGTAAAGCGGAGATTCAAGTGCGACTTAAAAAGCGGCTTTGAAATCTTCGCCGGATACAAAGCAACTGTGTGACTGTGGCCGCATGGTTGGATGTGCTATTAACTTGGGAGAATTTCGAGCGAGCACAATAGCGGAACATTCATATTAGGCTTTGTTGATGAAAAAAGTCAGAGCTGAGAAAAGTCAAGGCAAAAAAACAAACAAACAGAAAAACAAAAACAAAATGTGATAAGAGCAGGTTGCTTTGGAATGAATACACATCCCCAGAATATGAGCTTTTGGTCGCATGCAGTAGTGCGACCAAGGACTGGATGATGATTATAGGAAAACAGACAACAGTCATTCACATAATATCAAAAAGGTATCCAAAGGACAAGGAAGTGAATTATCATGTGACTCCTGAAGCCAATGACCTGCTTAACCTCCATTTTCTCTCACGCTCCGATGAAAGCCGCTCGCCTGAATCGTTAACCTGTTTGCTTACATGGCTGGAATGAATTGATGAAATTGTGATTCATCAACTCTCTGTTTTAATTTATGTATCAGTTTTACATTTTTGTAATTCAACACTGGAATAAGAAAGGTTTTGTCCTGTAAAGAAAACCCATTGTACTGTAGGTCTTCTTTTGAAAGGTTAGCTATTCTATTCAATTCAATTTTATTTATACAGAGCCAAATCACAGCAACAGTCACCTCAAGGTCCTTTATATTGTAAAGTAGACCCTAAAATAATACACACAGAGAAAGACCCAACAATCATATGGACCCCCATGAGCAAGCACTTTGGCAACAGTGGGAAGGAAAAACTCCCTTTCGATATCAGATTTATAGATTTGTATTTTAGTTACTGCGCTGCGATTCTTATAGCAGGTTAAGGTGCATTTTCTTTTTAAATTTCATAGTGTGATATAAGTGCATACACATGTGCTAACACCTATGGTATATATAAATGTACTGCACATAGGATATGTCTGTATATTTCTCATCTTTACCACACATGATGCAGAAACACGCACACAGTACAGCTTTAAACGGAGATAAGCCCAGTGGGGGAGATAATCAATAACATTCTGTGAACTCTAAACTTTCCAAAGCACTGAGGAAAAAAACCTTTTTGTTTATGACTAGAAAACCATGGAATATATCTGACAGTTCGTCAGCTCTTACACCCTAAGCTTCACTTTAGAACCACAACCAACACAAACTGATCAAAGTCAAGAAATGGAACCAATGAGTCAGCAAAGCGTGTAACAATAGTTAGGAAGTCTATCTATCTCCAAAACATCATGAAGGAAAGCTATATGAAGGAGGATGATGTGCAGCACATGCATGCAAAGATATGCGCGCACACACTATGTTTATCACACACAAGTATCAAAAACAGACTCAGCAGCAACCCATATCACAAATTATGTCGACACCTCTGCTGGTATTTATCAAACTGCACTAACTCACTTAATTAGACGTTGTACCCACACGCAACTGTGGCACAAGAGTCAGGCTCTGTAGGACTTCATGCACACACTGATTTTTCATCGTATCTCATAATTACGCCTACAGCAATAGTGGAAATGCTTTTGATGGTTGTTTTTTTAATTTCTAAGTAACTGTGTGATTATTATATTTTCGTCCTGTACGTTAAACTGAAGGGTCCTGAAGCGAGTGCAATCACAAAGTAATCTTGCTCATGTACTAATGGAATATGTATCATGTGTATTTTTTAAGCACCTTAACCTCCGTTTTTAATGGAAGGGAAAAGTGCAATATCTTCTGGTCAATGGGAGGGGGTGTGCCAATCAACAGTAGTCTCATGCTTGACATTGCTCAGTAGCATTCAAACATAATGAAGAAGTTCCAAAGTGCCTTTAGATTTCTGGATAACAGCACAACAAGATTGCAGAGTGGCTACTCCATGATAATAATGACAAGCAGCTGTTAAGAGGCAACTGATGATAATCTTGATATCTGAAGACATGCAATCACAAAGCACGCTTCTTTGCAGCTCTGAATCGTTCAGGTCCCGATTTATAGCGTTCATGTGACGAGTTCAAAACAGTAATGTGCGTACAACTGAGAAAATCAAGCCATTTACACTCGACAAACAAACACATGAAACTGCCATGATCACTGTACAAAAATGGTAATTATTCTTTTTTTCCATATAAAGAATGCGTCAAATGGCAGTGAAACTTTTCCCACATAGCGATCAATACAGAGAATTATTCATCTCCTCTTCTCTGTAGAGCCTTTTAAACCAAAAGCCATAATCAGTGAAAAAGAGTGAAAATATAGATGAGTGCAGCCTGTAAAAAGTCAGCTACTTCCCAAAGGATTTGGTAAAGACCAAAAACATGACTAAAAGAGAGTCGTGGCTGTACTTACATTCCCCGCTGCTAATTAATGATCAAATTAAAACTGCTGGCATGCCCACAGTTAGCATACTAGCTAGGATGACAGCTAGGATATGCAAAGATTTAACATTTATTAACTGTAACAGAAAGAATTTGCAGTTGTCATCATAGTTTAAACTTTTACCTGCTACGGCTTATTTGTGTTTAATAGGGCAGCATTTGCAATTGGAAAATTGCGGCCTTTCATATCGTGACTTTGATTAATTGTTCGGCCCTAATAACAACGCTACAGTGGAAGCAGACACATGTGAAGTATATGTTCTATACAGCCGTGCCATGATACTTTAATCATCAGCATAACAGTATGTTGAGGGCTGAAGATTGTAAATGCGTGCCGTCTCCGTGACAGATGTGGGCTTGCTGCTTCTGTGGGTACCCTTGTCAAAATAATGAACCTGCTGAGCTGGCCAGAGGTATAGGAGGCCATGTGGACTGGAGCAAAACAGAGCAGAGAGACTTCCCTGGATCACCGGGCCTGTGATTTCCCTGTGGGGGGTCTTGCTGTGGCAGGACTACAGCTCTAACAACCTCGGCCTTGGTCTCCCCTGCCTTGCTCTGGCT